CATATCAATCCATTCTGATCTGCAAAGTTTCTGTTGAGAAATCAGCTGACAATCTTGTGGGAGCTTCCTTACAATTAACTATTTGCCTTTCTCTTGCTGTTTTTAGGATTCTCTCTTTGTCTTTAACTTTTGCCATCTTAATTTGATGTGTCTTGGTGTGGGCTTTTCTTGGGTTCGCCTTGTTTGGGACTCTCTTTACTTCCTGGGCTTCTATCTCTATTTCCTTCACCAAGTTGGGAAAGTTTTTAGTCATTATTTCTTCAAATAGGTTTTCAATTCCTTGCTCACTCTCTTCTCCTTCTGGTACTCCTATCATGCGAATGTTGGTACACTTGATGGTGTTCCAGAAGTCTCTTAAACTGTCATCATTTTTTAAAATCCTATTTTTGTTTTTGCTATTCTGATTGGGTGTTTTCTGCTACCTTATCTTCCAAATTGCTGATTCAATCCTCTGCTTCATCTGGTGTTCTGGTGATTCCTTCTAGTGCATTCTTCATTTTAGGTATTGTATTCTTTACTGTGACTGGTTCTTTTTTATGGCTTCTGTGTCCTTTATGTTTGCTACCTCTTTGTTGCAGTTTTCACTATAACTTTGAATTTCTTTAATATGCATGAAATCACAGAAGAGAAACTATTAAATATAGATTTTACCCCCATCTTCAAAGATTACTGATCACAAGGCTTGGAGTTGAACCCTGTAGCCTAAAATTTTAGTAAGTTTTTTCAGATTTTTCTGATGTCATTGGCTCTCTGTTCTTCAACACAGTTGGAGAAACACTGCTCTAAATTGCATTCTACTTAAGGAAAAGCACCCTAGCCCTTTTAAGTAATTGGGATAAATAAGAAAATCAACAACCAAGAAGAAGAGTAATGTGCTCTCAGCTGACGATTTCTGTTTATTAGTAATTAAGGTAATTTGGGATCATCTTCTAAAGCCATGTAACCCCAAAGTAGGGCAGCTAACTAACCCAAAAGAGGCAGGTGCAGGGAAAGATATGAAGACACAACATAGAGTTTCTTGAGCATCTTTAGCTTAATATTAGGGGCTACCAAAAAATAAAAGAGATATGTTGACGGAAGAGATAAGTCTAATAATTTCCTCTTTACCCATATATCTTATAGGATTATTTCCTTATTATCAAACCCTATCCAACAAAAGAAATTAAAGCTAAGCAGTATATGACTTAAAATATTAAAAACTGCAGCTGAAATGAACCAAGTAGCCAAGCCAGACAATCCATGGTTGATGTAATACATGTGGTGTACCTGGACTGTTATACTCTGTGATTGAAATTCCCCAACAGAGGGATGTCAAGAAAATAGCTATGGACTTAAAGTCAGAAAACTGCTATTTTTGCCCTATTTTCACCAATAGCTTTTTATAGGACCTTGTGTCACTTACCTGACCCCTTTTACTCTTAGCTCTCTTGACTTTAAAAGAAAGAGGATAAGTTAAGCTCAAGAAAACTTTAGTTCTAGCATAATTATTCCATGAAACATAAAGCAAAACTTAATTCCTGAATGTAATCAATTGTTAAAGAGCAAGACCTAGCTAAAGACCTTTCTAATCTGTCCTTATATCATAACTATCGAAATAAAATTAAAAAGAACCAGTTACTTCTCACAGTACAGCTCAAATTAGGTAATATAATTTGAAACCTCTTATTCAAACCTCTTGATTTTACTTTTAATATCTAGTTCAGATATGAGCAATCCTCTTGGGCCCTGGAGTGAGGCTTAATGATATCTTTGGCCACACGGGAATCGGTTGAGAAACACCAGAAGGCCCAACCTGGACAAAATTATTTTCCACATACTACCAGGGGTGCCTATCCTTTGAGTCATTTTTAAGGATGAAAGCTTTAAAAGAATATCTTCTTTTCAGTCACAAACATTATGCAGAAGAGAAGAGAAAGAATACATGGCTATGACTCCTATTAGCCAATAATATCAGTAATACCTTGGCATTCTAAGGCTGCAGATCCAGGTTTTGAAGGGCCTCAAATATAGTACAATTATGGGACCCTCTTTATTAAAAATAATACAGAACTATTAACATAAAAGTTTATTCTAAAGGGAAACTTTATTTAGGATTGAAAAAGAAATCAAAACAAATTACTGGAGCTTTGGAGATGCAGGCCCTTCTGAGACCTCTTTAAACAATTTACTAAAAATAGTCATATAGAAATATTTTCTAAATTCGACCTGACTTTCATTGTCCTTTTACAACACTCTACAGCACTTAGCAACTGCCAGCACTCACAAGAACTCATGCACATAAGGATATTGGGTTTAATAAGCTTAAGTTTAATAAGCAGCATGATATATCATGTATTATTAAAGCATCAGCTTAAGAGGCAGACAAGGAAGAAGAATACTACAGAATCAAAGTGAAGAGCAGATGAGCGATCAGAAACTGACTTTAGGGCCTGCTTCAGGTGGGCAAATGTCCCTAGACAAGGTGACCAGGAGTCTTCATGTGGGGCTTACACTGGATACACTCAGCCAAGTGTCACTAGCAGAGGACATCCTGCTATTCAGGAGAGGCATAGGGAAAAAAGAAGACATGGAAATAAAATAAAGGAAGTTGGAAAATGTGACCTGAGGGCAAGAGGAGGACATAAAACAAAAAGTAGAAGAGGAAAACATCACTGAGCAGGAGATAGAGAAGAACTGCTTCACCGTCTGGGTTGAGTGACAGGATAGCACTAATCACTCACTTCACTTGCTAAATAGCAGGCTCTTGGTGTGCAGTGAACATAAGACTAGAAAGAAATCCAGGGAGTTAGCGTATTAATACAGGAAATTACGTTAATGGTAATTCTCTTCTGTCACCTCAATGTATCATTTAAAAAATGAGACACAGAAGTCACTGACCTGTCAAGAGATGGCATAGTTTACTCATTAGCAGAGCAGGTCCAGAAGCCAGTGATATTATCTCTATATGATTGCTTCACAAAAACGTAGCAAAGAAAAAGATAATTTTTCTGTCCTTGATGAACTTAAACATTTTCCATCTAACGCTCCCCACATTCTTCCTTCAAAACCCATCTCAAATCAAAGATAAATAAATAAATAAATAAACAAACAAACAAACAAACGTATAAAGGTGTTCTTTGTCAAAGGTAACCTTTTCTGATTTTACAAGTCCAGTGCATCTTACCTGCCTATCTTAGAGCATTTATCTTACTCTGTCTGGATTTCTTTCTCTCCTCCCCTTTCTTATCCCACATGCATACACAAAGGACTTACACACAGAGCTATACATGCACGCAGACGTATAGACATCTCCAAACATACATACAAGCTCTTCAGAGAAGCATCTGTGCTAACTCATAACTGTCAGCTGTGGTGCTTCACACATAGGGATTTCCTGGAACTTATTTTTGGAAGGAAATTAGCTCTAGGGCTGCCTGAGGGCGCTAGCACTGGAATTCACCAGGCCTCACCTAGTGCATTGGTTTTTGTTGGGTGAAAGAAAGCCCTGTCTAATCTCATGGCTTCAACTGCCGCCTCTAAATGATGAACTCATCTCAAGCTTACTTCTCTCAATTGCATTAGCTGATCAGATCCTTTCTGCTGAATATCTTATATATATCAAACTAATTACTCCTAAAATGAAAGTCAACAACTTTCCTATTGTAACTGTGTTTTCTTTTCCTTTCGTTAACTTCACCCAACCTTCCCCCGCAGGCTGAAAACCTTGTTGTTATTATTGATAAGGCCCATAACTTTATGCTGAGCACCCATATTGAGTGCCAAGTTTTATTCTGTCACAATTTTCCCCATCTACTGTCTTTTCTCTTTTTTTACTACCATGATTTAAGTTCGGGCCATTAATATTTCCACCTTGTCTTATTGAAATAAGGTAATTGATTTACCGGTCTGTTCTCCAATTATATATCTATAATATGTTATATATTATCCTTGTGTATATATGTCAATCCTTTATTTAAAAGGCCTGTGGCTTCAGATTACTTACAGATTAAAATTTGAATGTCTTACTCTGATGATCAAGGCCTTCCATTTATGTTTCCAAATTGGCCTAGTATCATTTCCCTTCACATTCCAACATGCCAGAAAAACTGATATTTTCATTTCTGGTAGGTTCCCATCTCTCTGTCTTTGTTCCTACAATTTCATTTACTTTCTCTTCTATTTTTCTCCACTTACACAGATTCTAACCACTCTTATAATCCCCTCAAATGCACATAATACTTTCAGGATACCTCGTTTATGGCACTCATCACTTTCTATCGTGCATTACAATTATTCTGATATATAGCTCTTGTTTCATACTTGAGTAAGTGTTGTTTCTTTGTTTAAGAATATACTTGTCAAGTGCTTGAGAGAACAGTCCTTGGCTGATTTATCTTTGTAATGCTCACAATGCCTAGCAAAATGCTTGCATATTATAAATATTCAATAAATATACGTTCACTTAGTACATAAGTGCCATTTTTTTGACATTGATAAAGTTTGGATACCTTTACTTATGTTTTGAAAAACCAACAATTATTTAGCATGGGAAATGCTCACAGTTATTTATTTCCTGTGTAATATAATCAATACCTAAACTACCAGTGTTGATTAACACTTTAAATAATTATTATTGTAAAATGTATGAATATACATGAAATGCAATCCTTAAGGGAAGACAAGGATTGCATCATGGAGACTGAGTCTAAGTGTACTTTTTATTTTAACACATCAAAAATTTATGGTGATGCAAGGAGAACTGATTCTGGGTGATGAACATACGATGTGATATATAGATGATGTATTACAGAATTGTATACCTGAAACCTATGTAACTTTACTAACCATTGTCACCCCAATAAACTTTAATTTAAAAAAGAAACCTAAAAAAAGAAAAATTTAGCAGCCACCAAACAGACATTAACAACCAAACCATAGTGCTTTTCAATGTAACCATCCCCGAAATTGAAAAGAAATTGTGACATTCATTTTATGCTTAAAGACTATACTTTATTTCCTAGGTGTGATGGGAGAATATGAGCCGAAAATTGAGGTCCATTTTCCTTTTACAGTTACAGCTGCTAAGGGAACAACTGTTAAGATGGAGTGCTTTGCACTTGGCAAGTAAGTACATATTCTTCCATAATTAGACACAATTGTTTATTAAAATGTGACATATCTTATTTTTGAATCAGTTATTTCACTAATTTTTATTTTCCCAGAATCTCCTTGGTGTCTATTCATTTTTTTATAAAAGGGGCGAATGGAATTTGTCAAAATAATCAATTATAATTATTTTTTTAGTAATTTCTATGAACAATAATGTATACAGTTTTAATCTAATGGAAACTTCTTTAAATAAGTATTTTAAAGTATCTCTGCCTAAGTGTCTTAAAATTTCAATATAATTCTTAAATTCTATTCAGCAATAATATGAATAAAAAGAGGCTAAAAGGATAATGTGCTATCTACTCCTCATGTATAGAATATAGATTCTGATAAGATATAATAAGACAACAGTATAAAAATCATAATGATAATAATTACACTGAGCCAAATGATTACTTCAGTATCTCCTGAAATAATCACACGATAGCACCAGCTATGAATAGGTACAACATATAATCATTCCTCAAATCTGAAAGATGACTTATATCACACTTTAATACCTACTGTACTTACTAATTTTGTTTCTGAGAGTTTAAATCCTATGATATATAATTACTTGTCAGTGATGTTTACAATATAAATATTGGGGGTAGAGGCAGGAGAGGAATTTTTATTGTATTTGATTAGAGTAGTATGACTTATTTTAAACAGTGTTGTTTGTTTGTTTGTTTTTAAGGGTGATAAGACCTCAGGGCCCTTTCTAGACTCTATAATTATAATCTGCATAACTGCATTTCTATCAGAGTTATGAATCATGTAATTTCAGTTGTACTGAGCTACTCACACAGTGTAACTATAAAGTACTTAGAGATAAAACCTGCTATATAAATGTTCTTAAAATATGTTTAGTCTATGGGTGAGGAAAATATTAGTAAATGTAAAAAATTTAGCTAGTAAGAGGAAGTTTAGGGCATGAACATAGCAAACACTATGTTTTCTAATTTCAACAAAGTTTGAAGTAACATATGTGTGCAGTTCTACTAAAGCCTAAGTAGAAGCAGGATCATAATAAACTAAAAACAAAAGAAATTGTTGTGTGGTCATTCTTTTAAGGAAAAGATGCCCATATGTAGAAATATATTTCAAGAATTTAAAATTCATTAAGGTGCTATTTGGGCAGATAACTGAGGAAGCCTTGAAACACAAAGATATTAGTTAAATGCACATGATTACATAATATAATACCTTAAAAGTCTTGTTTTTCACCGTTTACCCATGTTGTGGTGTCCAGTGTGCCTGAAAATGTCTAGAGTAAGCAGCTTAATTCTGATAAATACAAAAGGAATTTATTTTGGTTCCATGCCAAAGGTTTTAGTATACCCTGCAGTTACATAATCCTTTAATGCCAGTATTTGCACTAAAGCCACAAACAAAGGGAGGTCATATTGTAAAACAAATTAGACAACTGGATTTATAGAGAAAAAAACAATTTGGGAAACTTCTCCAGGCAGGCTTATTTAATAAGCTAGACGTATTTGCTTTTGGAAGTCTTGAAATATGCTTAGTAAATTGATCATTTCATCCTAGGTAGAATACAATGGTCAAAATACGTTATTTTAATGATTTGTTTTCTCCAACTTCTCCACTCCTTTTTTGGTACTCCTTGTCCCCACACCACCCCAAATTAATTAATTAACTAATTAATTACATGTAAGATGAAGATACACAGTCTCTGTCAAAAGGGTCTCTGTTATTCATTTGATATTCATTCTGGGAACTGTCACAAGTATGATTTTTTAAAATGTTATGAAGAGATCTACTTCAGGGCCAGCTGAGCGGCATGTTGGTTAAGAGCTGGCTTGGGACGCCAGAGGGCCCCGGTTCGGATCCCACATATGAGGGCCAGTGACACTGCC